CAGGACGTTCGTAGAGGCTGTGGCCAAGAAGTTCGCTTGGCCGACATAGGCACGTGGAATTTTAGAGGATAGGCCATTGCACTAAACATAATGATAATGTTTTTGACATGTAGCCCGACAATGCCTGTCTGGGCCCTAGATGCTCTCAAGCCACTGGCTGAACTCCGGCTCTTTCAGTCATCCAAACCCTCGCAAACGTTCTCCATTCATGTATGCTTTATGCCCAAAATTCCACACTCACGGGCCGCTTGCCCGTTGAACAAGCTAGAAGGTATAGTTATCGACAAATTGGTGTCTACAGCAATCGTTAAGCTTTCTGTTTAGAACCTGCCAAGGCCGCAGCCTTGCCAAGCTTTACTTTCAACATCGAAAAGCCTACCTCGTACCAGCGGGCCTTCTCAAGTTTTGGGGAGATACTTTTGGCGATGTAAAATTCGGAATGAGGCAACTGCCGGGCTTTGATGCCGTACCGCCTGACACCAGACACTCGTCTGCCAAGTTACGGTTTTCAATCCAGATGCGCAGAGCAATAGTCCTGAACCTTTCGAACTTTAACTTTAACCCTAACGGATCCCCCCGCCCCCATCCCCCGATTGATTCAATGGGCCAGGGAGGGCTGGAGAGGGTTTGAGTGTTTAAGGGGCCTCTTCGAGTGACGAGGGTCGGTCCCAGGGCATTCGTGATGGAAAGTGCCATTATTGAGTAGCCACATGTGCGTGAGCCGGTGTGGATTGGGTTGAAGGTCGTGTTTTGGATGCGGCATCTGCTTAGATGGAGCTGAAAGGGTACAACCCTCCTTTAGTGTGCTTTTGGATCACTAAGAGTGCGAACCCATGAGCCTGAATCTTAGCCTTGAGTCCCGGTCCCCTAAATCTTCGTGGCAGGCAACCTATACGCCTTCGACTTCGGGCAAACCCGCCCCCCCATGCCCCCCCCACCCCCAAGAAAAAACTCTTCTATCCCGGAACGTAAATTATAACCCCCCCTCAATCCCGAAAGGGGCCGGAAACTGGGGCAGGCAAGTAACGCCGCGTTCGCCTTGTCCTTTCACAAAGACCTTCTCCATTTAATCAAAACTCAAACTCCTAGGCCCAAACCTTCACAAAACCATCAGTTCCAAATATCTGCACCAGGAGCCTGCAACCCTGAACCATTGAGAAGTCCAGGACACTCTGCCAGACCTTTGCGTGCTAAGTGGCTGCGCTTCCCGGATTCCAATGTTAGGGCCACAAGAGCTTCGGACGTCGGCTTCCGGATCGTTCATGGCTTTAGATTCTGGAGGCAAGCGATTAGTTCGAAATAGTGCCGCCAAGTAATGGCAATCATTATGGAGAGCTACAGCACACTTACACACACTATAAGTAACTAACTAACTAATTAACTAGCTAAGTAGCTAAGTAACTAGCTGACTACTTGACTGACTGACAAACTGACGAACTGACTAACTGACTGACTGGCTAACTGACTAACTAACTATAACTATCAAATTGTGCGAGCCAACGCCAAGGATTACCTGCCCTCCCTACCCCGACTGGGCTTACGCCGTGCCGCGCAGCTTCTTCACCGAGCACGAGGCTTGAATGTTCGACGTACTCTCTGTTCATCATCTTTTAGTTCTTGCAGAAATTTTTGTTCTTGCGCACATGTTGTGGTGGCCCTTTGCATATCTCTCTCGCAGCTCTGCCGTCTTTAAGTCTGCAAGAAACGAGTGTGAGAGTTGGTTCATGCTAGCTTTGAAGAGTGACTTGCGCATTGGCAGTGCAGATTAGGGGTTTGGGGGTGGCAGGGGCTGAGAGGACTTTACAGCCAGCTCCCTGTTATCCGAGAGCAGTGTCCCCAGTCTCATGTTGGGAAAGACATCAACAATGACACGGTGGAGGTGATGATAGTGATGACGGTGGAGGTCATCCACCGCCGCCAACCGACGTGTGGTTACCTAACGATACACACCCTCCTATCCGATGCACTTGAGTTCGACTGAGGGTAGGGAATTCCCAACTGCCATCGAACCTAACATTCTTAAGATGCAATGACGTAGGTCCTGGAGTCGGTACAACTACCGGATGGACATGGTCGGAAGAATGGGTCGGTCAGATGGCAACAGAGATGTTCATGAAGGATTTGCTACCAGCACGTCCCAGTGAACTATCAACACCAGAGCAGGTCATCGGATCTACATCCCTGACATCGCACCGGTGCCACGACCTGCCTGTAAACAGGGAAGAGACGTACGCAAATCCCGACGCGATGGGGGTGTTCATGGAAGAATGGAAAGGTCTGTGGGATCAGCATGTGTTTGATTTCTCTGTGGTAAGAGAGAATCATGATGCGACGCGAAAACGAAGAACGAATGAATCCACGTGGCACGAGTTCATGCGTTGATATACGAACAGAATCATCAGCTCAAGGAGGATGATCCAACCCCCAGTAAAAGAAGTGTGGACGCGGCACTGTTCCAACACCTGGGCAACTCGCCCGCTACACTTGATGCATCCAGACGAACGATGTGCAGATGGCTGACTCCATTCAAGCCTGCACATAACTGTTTATCGCAAGCAGTATCGTAGACCAGTATTCAGGTTGGTAACAGCACTATACGGCTATCCCAAGAAAGGAGCAAGAACACTAAGCATTAGTGGGCTTCTGAGCAGACATATTGACATCAACTTACAAGCATCTGCAGGTCGGTGTGCCGTTGTAAGAGGTCTAAGAGGTCAACGGCCAGTCTCTAATAAAGGGATGGACGGGCAGAACCCGAAGCGACCGAAACATCCGGAAATGACAGAACATGAAGCTGTTGGGTTTTTGGACTGACTGGTTTCGAGCAGGCAGTGTTCAGCGCGCCTTACACCTGGCGCAACGTGAAGGAATTAGCGTGGCTGGGCTCTTGAAATAATATGTTGCATGAGGCTGTGCATTTAAAGCAAACGCTGAATGTTTATCGTGTCCTTTCCTTGCGCAAGTCGCCACCGTACTCTAAACTTCTCACGCTCGGACAAAGCCCGCAAGGATCTTCTTAACGCACAACACAGAGGTGCCTTGCTCCTATGAGCAAAAGTTCGCTGAAGCCAAGCTGGTTTACTCATGTCAGCTGGCTGCTTGTCTGCATCTTTCAAGTTTTTGCGTTTTGCATTTGGAACTATTGACCATGTGGCCTCTGTCCAGGTTTTCGATGACTGTGCCCAGCAATTGCGCCCACTGTCACCCATCCCATCATCGGCAAAGGACGTCAGGCAAAGGAATCACACATATTTTGCATTTGTGTTGCCTTCAAAGCACAGTCTCCGCATAGTCTGCTTGGATGATCAGGCTCATTGTTTCTGTTGTGGAATCCTGCCAGACCATTTCGCCTTCGCACTTCAAAGTTCATACTAGGTGCGTTTCTCAATTGTGTAAACAGCGAGCACGTAACCCTAAATCTTTCCACCCAAGCCCTTTTCTTCCAAAACCCGAAAGCCTGAGATCAGCACATTCACGGAGTAATGCCACGCATGAGTTCCTAAACCTGACTGCCTTACTGTGTCGTAGGCCCCTGCAACCGTTGGTGCCTCGTTCATGTTCCAATCGCGAATAAGGCTCCTGCCAAGCCGGTTGTCGACGATGAGTCGACGTGTTGGATGCCCCATGCCCTTGACTGCCCCAAGCCGACTTTTTCCCCCCAATGTGCATTTCCATACTGTAGATTGTGAACGTCGCGCAGGCCTTTGCACCTGGGCATCGGTCTGTTCAACGACGAGGTGTATGCGATTCGATGTCTTTTGAGGTGTTGTGCAAGTGCAATTAGAATCCCATCGAACTATATTCGGCGGCTTTGTTTGGATATGCATGTTTTGTTACGGGCGCTCAGGCGCTGTGTTTTGAAGGTTTACATCCGCGGGACTGGGCACTCAAGCCTGTAACGTCTTCAGTTGTCCCCATAGCTGTAGCTGTGCATAGTTACTTCGCTGCCTACATTTGTCTGGTGCGTGTCATGCAGGACCCAAAATACAAGAACCGAGAGCACCAGCCAAAAGAAGACGAAACCCAACAAGAACAGTTTTCCGAGGAAAGGACAAAGCGCTTGCCATCCCCAGCAGTTTGATAAACATGAAGAAGTCCGAGAGAAGTCTTTTTTCTTCGAGAATACTGAGCTTGTCTTGTTGATTCATGCCGACAAAAGTGAGCCACCCTACTCCTGTTAAGCAGAAATAACAAGATCTCCTTGGGTTATTGACAATACGACAAACCCCCTTTTTTTTGGAAGGAAATAGCTGCTAGCTCTGCCAAGCTCTTGCTGTACAAACTTTGCTTGTTCTCGGAACAGGAGATATGAAAGTCACTATCATTCATCAGAGGATGTTTTTTTCAGAAGCCGGGATTGCATGCAAAGAGTTTACGCAAACAGGTCCGTGCATAGGTGTCCTCATGTTCTTTGAATACATCTCGCTCACATAGCGGAACGTCACCTCAGCTGCAAACATTCAACACAGCGGCTGAGTTCTCGCCTCTATGTTTATGGCTTCGAACATGTTACAAATTCTTGTTGTGTGCAGCGACATGCATGGGCAAGTTGCTAGCCTATTTGAGCGTGGATTTCGCTAGCTTGCTATGATGTTCAGGTCGGGCTTGACATCGCAGAGGGACGGCGGAATCCAATAACGCTGGCATTGTTCATCGATGTCGCATCCCGTTTGCCGCCAAAGTTGTCGCGCATTGGATGCGATGCACTTCGGCCCATGTAAAGTCTAAGTCCTGTAACGGTATTGCATGTTGGGCCAAGTCGGACCCTTCCTTGATTCTGAGCATTGGTCACGTGTCCAGGTTGCAGGCGAGACCGTATGCAGCCTGCCGACTCCCCTCCGGCCATTCCGACAACCCCGAATAACGGATGGTGACAGGCTCCAAGCTGCTCGGGTTCGACATTCGCGCAATAGCATGCGTAACACACTGTGGCGGTCCAAAGGCCTAAACATCGCATAAGCTTGCAATCTAAGGTTGCACCCAATCCAAATGATTGCGCGATGTCCGAGATTCAGAAAGATCGGAAACATCAGGAGTTGGATGCAAACGTGTAGCTCATTCCTGGCTTCAAAGATCATGTGGTCATAGTCGGTCACATGAACAAGACTTTGTGCTCCACAGTTTAAGATGAAACGACATGTTCAGGAGCTGACGGATGCCAGCACGCGCCCTGCGCGTAGGCACCTGATGAGCTACACGCATGTTGCATGTTTGTGAATGTTTGTGAATGTTGTGTTTGTGAACTGCTGTTGCTTCGAGAGGCGTCGCTTGGGCTGTCGCGGACCAGAAATTGGCCCCGGACAAGCCGCACCGTGAGCTTCGACAACCCCTTGTGGCAAGTTTTTTCAGGTCATATGACCTTGAATTAAATGCAAACAGAATTAGTTTTGCATGCGTTGGACACCCAGCAGGGCGAGAAACTGAAAAAATGTGCACAGCACGAACATTGCATTGGTGTAGCAAAGGACATGGTTGTTGGTGAGCTCCAAACGCAGGGTGTGCTTGTACCAGGCAGAGGATGAAGGTATCCCGAGCACTGTGTGAGCCTGAGCACTTCTGAGTGGCGCTTTGACAGCTCGGACGACCTTTCGTGCTTTCTCATGTTAGGCTCGATGTTCGAGTTTGGGGAGCGATTGAATATTCGAGCATTCGAGAAGTTTCTAGCCAAAGTTGCCCCAAAGACGAGGCTGGCCTCAGGCAATATTTCGGGTGTAATATTTGCTTGCGATTTAATGCGTAAGGCGTTTGTGAATTCTGGTACCTAAACTGCGCTGTCGACTCTAAAATCTCTGGCTTAACGTCCCGCATCTATTTCCATAGGCTCCTATATCAGTCGTGGCTGATCGCGCAAGATTTCGGCATTTCTTGATGCATTGTTGGAGCAGGCATCGATGTCGAACTCTGTGAATCAATACCATCAAAGCGGATTACTGCAGTTGTATTGTCGTTGCCAGCTCCTACCAAGGCCATACGAGAGATCTCGTTACTGAAGGAGCTCCAGCACCCCAACATTGTCAGGCATCGGTTGTCATGGTGCAGTGTAGTTGTCCCGTTGTGTGTACTTGAGAGCAGGCTTTGTGATGTCATTCACACAGAACGAAAGCTGACGCTGGTGTCTGATGCTGAGTGGTACGTTCCCGTGCTTGGTACCACGAACATGTTCCAACATGTTCGCACAATGCACCTCGAAGGTGAGCGCCAGCTGAGGTTTGAGTATTTAGACCAAGACCTCAAGAAGTTGCTGGACATGTGCGACGGTGGTTTGGACCCTGCAACCACCAAGGCCGCAGGGTTTGGATTTTTGGAACCAGCTAAGTTTGCAAAAATCAATCCAAGTGTGAGTCCTGTTTCTCCAAGTTAGCAATCTTGCGATTGGCAGGAGTGGAAATCACTTGCCCAATTGTATATTGCCACAATTTCCATTCTTATGAAGGAGTTATAATGATGTAACCGCGCCTGTAGTTCACTTGCTCTGATGCAACTGAAGCCACCCGCACGCAGTCTTCTTGTTTGCAACCTTGGCCAGTCGTTTCTGTACCAGCTACTACGAGGTATTGCGCACCTTGGCAGATGGGGTTTTTCGCAGGGCTGAGCAGTCGAAAAGCGTTGATGCATGCAAGGGGCATGTTGGCCTTGCTATGGGAAAGAAGCCTTTCTGGCTTGTGCGATTTGAGCAATGCCAAGGTATTGCCACGCTCATCGTGTGCTGCATCGGGATCTGAAGCCTCAGAATCTCTTGATCAATAGGGACGCAGCCTCAGAGTCAGCGGCTGATGGTTCCTTCGACTTCGGAGTCTCCTCTGACCTCTCAAGCGTGCTTATATCCCTGCATGGAAACTTGGGTGCCTCTGCTGTCTGCATCAGCCTCCTTGGCAAGTCCCCACACGAACCTTTTTCTTTTGCACCGATAGTTTTAGCCCTTAGCTTTGGCAACTGCCAAGCATGCAAAACTTGAGGAAGGCTCGCTGAAGCTTGCCGACTTCGGTCTAGCGCGCGCTTTCGGCATCCCCGTTCGGACACTTTGCTGCAGTGCCATCGCAAGCGCTCTGGGCTCTCGCAAAGAAGTATAGGCCCAAGTGGCATGGACCTGTATGTATCATGTGGGGGTCCGTTTGACCCGAAGCCAGTGTGCAGTTTTGTTGCTTGGTGAATGCTGGTTCCACTGTCCCGTTGCTTGGATGAGCCCAATATTGGTTGGATGCTTGCTTAATTGCTGCTACGTCCTCTAGCTTCTGGTGAGTGCACGTCTATAACTGCGACTTCTGCGATGTTCGATCATGTTGCTTGTTGAGTCCTGCACCGCCAGCTCTGAAGCCTACAACTAACTAAGGAGCTACACCCACGAGGCCATGAACGCATGGGGAGAATTTTGGGTCCATCTCAGCATCCGAAACGAGCGTTGGCCGGAGTGTTCTTCAGTAATTAGAGGGGCAGGGGCAGGGGTATTCAAGATTGGAGGTAAACATGCACGTCTAGTTGTATTCTCCCGTAGCCTCACATTGTCTGAAAACTTGTCAATCGCTGGGATTGTGACGAACACAGTCTGTGTTGCAGTAGGAAGCAGCCTGCCGGTTACACTACATTATACCAGAGTTCTCGTTCAAGCTAGCTCGTCGTGTCACTCCGACTCTGGAAGCTGAGCAACCCAACGTTGAATACTCTGACACATTGCGTTTCATTACATAAACTTCTCAATCGCAGATGAGGCTGAAGCCCGTTCTAGAGCAACTTTTCAACCCCGAGAAACACCACAACACCCTAACACACACTCAGCCTCCTTTCATTGTGAAGGTTGTGACTTTGTGGTACCGGGCACCTGACGTGCTCATGGGCTCGCGCAAGCTTCAGCCTCAGAGGATGTCGACGTGGGGAGCTTCAGGCGTTGTAGGCACTTTGGGTTTGACGGTGCCCTTCCATTTTGAGGAGCTGCAGCTGGTAAAGGGGCTTAAAATCGGCTTAGGGTTTCCGACTTGCAGTATTGAGCTGTAGTCCTGGTTGAGGTTTCTGATGCTGGTTTCGAATCAAGTTTAACGCGGTTTGTCCCGCCTTGCAACTTCAGTTCTTTCCTGTCTGTAGTTTGTAAAGCTGTCTCGTCCAAACCTTGCATCCTGAGCCTCAGCTCCACTGTGGGATTTGGGGGGGGGGGGGTGACGCTGCGAGCCACATACTGCGGCAAGCCCGGTTAAAAGGACGCACAAAGCGGGTCAAGTACCTTTATGAGCTCTGGTTGCTTCAAGCGCAGGTTCAGACCGAAGCTCAGACAGCCGACCCAATACATGCACACTAGAGAAATCTTGGACACCCTGAACCCTAAAACCCGTGTAAAGCCTAAACCCCTCAACCCCTAAGACACTAAACTGGATTCACTGAACCTGAGCTTTTCTTCCCATTGCTAAACCCAAAGCTCCTCAGTTTGCCAAGCTCAGGTATTCGACACCCGTAGACATTTGGTCCGTGGGCTGCATCTTTGCAGGTGGCGGCTGGTGGACCATCTGGGTATTGGGACGGTAAGTGGTCGGCGAGTTAATCCTGCACCCCAGTACAAGCTGCCAATCTTTCGTCACATTTACGTCCAACTTAACTGGCAACAACTCATAGCTGAAAGCGCTCAGCCTTCATCCTTGACCGTGCCAGAAATGGTCAATGGCCGCCCTCTGTTTCCCGGCGATACGGATGCGAACCAGCTCCAGAAGATCTTCAAGGCTCCCCTGCACCAACATGTTGGTTGGAATATTCCCTAAATCCGAAACCACCTGACAGTTGCAATCCAATGAGACAGCGATAGACTGCACAAAAACTTGCAACAAGGGACGGCACACGGACTATGAGCAAGATTGGGGGGACGGCCATGGGCATGGTGCGCCAGCCTGTAATGACATCAAGTCAGGGGCTCAGGTTCTCAGGGAGAAGCGGCAGGTTTGAAATTGTTAGCCGCCCATCGCATCTTGCATTGCCTGGTGAGGCAATCCAAAATGAACAAAGCATTGAAGGGACGCCTGCTTCACGTGTGCATGATATAATACTACCGGTGCTAGGTGTGAAGCTGAATCTCAGATGGAGGCCTCCTACAACTTTTGTCCTGCTACTTTTCGCCCGAAGTCAGTCAGAAAAGCAATCCTACGTTACAAGTCCCGGTCCAGCCTGCCCAGCTCGAACCATAAGTGCGTTTAGTGAAGCAGCTGTTGGGCCTCGGCAAAACTTCCACTGACTGTCCATGCATGGGATGCCCAGGTTGACACAGCCGAACCATACATGTCGGGCAGCCATTGACTGGGCGTAACGGTGCAAGACTGGTGCATGTAACCTGAGTTACTCGCACCATGTGATTCCTCAATTGTGGGCAGGCCCCGTCCACAAACAGTGGAAACAGTGACCTGATATGGGATGGTGGGCAGTATACAGCTGTAGTTAAGCCTCTTCGCCTCGGCTTGGTTTTCTTTCAGAGCAGAGTTGTACGAAACAGCAGACAGGATCCAAGAGGGACCATGTGCCGCAAAGACACAGAACACCGCAAGACAAGGGGACCCGAGGGGAGAAGAAAACAGGATTTGTTCCCCTCGGGTTGCTGCAGTCATGACACCCTGTCATATTTCATAATGTCGCAATGCTGGTAAGCCGCAAGCTTCCACTGGTCCATTGCTCTTCAACCTTTTCCCCGACATCGCCAGATCCTTGGCACGCCGTCAGAGTCTATCTGGCCGACCATCACTGAGCTTCCGGACTGGAAGCCTGACTTTCAGCAGCCACCTGGACCTGTCTGATTTTCATGGTTGGTGGAGGTGTAATCTCGATTGGGATGCTCAGCTAACCTTTGGACAGCAAGTTCTTGGCTGGTCTGAACCAAAACCCTAGCTGTTTGTAGTTCATGGGCCTTTGTGGCAGCACGTGCCTGAACCCACAAGCCTGCCTGCCAACCCGAAACTCTGCCAACCCTACACTCCTTGAACTTCAAACCATAGCCTTTGTGCCGCCATCCAGGTTCGAGCCCATGGCTTGGAAGAGCATTGCGCCGAATCTGGACGCTGGAATCCCAGACCAGAGTTGTTCATCTTGCATCTGGGTCTGGTTCACATTGTAAGATCCTTGCAGCCCAACATGTATGAACAGTGACGCTGGAACTTAAGGTGAGCTAGACTTGCACCCTGACCTCCCAAGATCTTTAGATGTGTGTGTGTGTGTGTGATGTTGTTTTGAGCTAGGCGGAGGGCACCGATCTGATGTCGGTCTGCCCGGCATGCTTCGAGCTGGAATTTGTTTGGGTTGTCAGGGTCTGCTGACCCTCAGCCTCAGCGCTACGACCAAACCACAGCAGGGTGCAAAGCCGGCCTATGACCCATTCAGATCCCATTCAGACCAGTCTGTGGAGGTCCAGAAAGGCTTCTGGATCTCGCTGCCTGAGGTGCCCACTTCACGACCCGAAGCTTCCAACATCATTCCTCGTGGAGTTTTCAGAAAGCAGAAAGAATCTTTGGACTTATGAGGCATTTCGAAGCATTCCTCGATTGGGGTGAGGAGTTTCGAGGCATCACCAGTTGCCGATGCGAGGACGTAGAAGGTGCATATCCAAGTCTTGAACAAAATGCAACGACCATCGTTGTTCAGCACAATTCCTGTGAATGATGGGGCCAAAGCCACCAAAGCTTTGAAAGCCCCATAAACGCGCCGCTCCCTATGCCTGACCAAAACCCACAGGCCACTGCCAGCACGCGCATAACTTGTTGACAGCTACACATGTACAGTAGCAGATTTGGCAGGTCTTTGGATCCAACAGCTTTAGGGTTTCCAAGGCGTTTTGGGCATCAGTTCTGGGGTTAACTTTTGAAAAGCTAATTTGGACATCAATGCCTATGAACTCTAGCCAATGCTTTAGGGCCCTTTGCAAGCCGGACCGCTGCGCCAGAAATTCCTTCAGTACTGGCCGGACAGAAGGATATCGGGCAAGGCGTCCATGGAACATGAGTACTTCAGGCCAGGCTCGTGTATTGGCATGCAGGTTTCAGCGTATGCAGGGTTCGTAAGGTCGGGCCTTGCGATGGTGTTGGTCACCTTGGCACGAAATTCGGAAACACTGCAAGCAGCAAAGGAATCGTCGGAGTAATGAAAGTTCCTAGCCATGCCTTGAAAAACAACACAACAACACATTGTGACAAGAGCTGGAACAAATCTGTGAGACCCGACTGATGTTCGGCTTTCCAATGCATTCCCCAAGGAGTTTCCATGGGCTGTGCCTCAGGCTGACTGAAGACTCTGTAGCCGCTGTAGCATTGGAAAAATGGGTAGTACGAGCTCGGGAGAAAGAAACAGCGGGGAGAGCGAGCTTGTGTGAACGTATTGTGTCGAAATGTTAAATAAGACCTTTTGAAACAGTAAACAAGCACGACTCGGAAAGAACGAAGGAATATTTCCGAAGAAAGAACGAAGGAGCGAAACAAGCGTGCAAACAGGCTTGGATGGACAGGCCGTAGTTGCACAATGGTTTCGCGTATTCGGCTTGTTAAAGATGCTGTCAGGCTTGGTGCGTGCTTTGTGTCCCTTCTTGGCCTCCAATCCTATCCTGTACTGTGCTGTCCTATACCCTGCAATGTACACTACCTGCTACCACGTCAGAACGCATGCCAAAAATTTGACAAATAGCCGCTTAGAACCTCGAGCAGCACTTCAGCGCTTGCGATGCCGTAAATCTGACGGACTCCGGGCCCTGAATAATTCTACGGATGCAAACCTTGAAAGAGCCTCTGCGCCCGAAGCGCAGACTAGACTTTGCATTCCTTGGAAGGGGCCTTGGTGAAGCCATAAAGAACATGAAGTGAGCACGGGCGGGCACCGAGCGGGCCTGAGTGCTTTAACAACCCTAGGCTTTCCGGGGTTTAGAGGTGTTCGTGCTTGGAGGCTTTGGGCTGAAGACCCGAGATTTAGAAGCATTGTAGGGCTTTGGATGATTTGGGGCTTGTGCGATGCGTTGGTTGAGGGTTCTCTAGGTTCTAGGACATGCGAGGTCAGTGCGAAGAAGTTTGAAAGTGTCTCAAGGTGTCAGATGTTGGGGTCTTCAGATTACAGGTGTTGGATTGTAGTAAGGTCTCATACGTTTTGCTTTCAGGAAGTGCAGGGTTTTTGGCATTGGAATATTCTTGGTTTAGAATCCGGGGTTTGGTGTTGTTAGGTGTGTCGAGTGGACTTGAGGTTGAGGGGCTTTGCTAGGATGGAGGCCCGAGGCGTTCTATATGCAGGTGCATGGTCAGGCCATGGGGCGATCTGTGCTCAGGGTTTAGGGATGTTCCAAGCCCAGTCTCTGCACGCCCGTGGCAGATCGTTTTCTGGTGCTGTCTCACATGTAGTTGTCCAGCGCATGAAGCAAGAAATCGCCGGCTGCCAGTTGCTCGGCAGAGCCGTGCTCCTAACAGAATTCCCGCCCTTGCATAACAAAGTTAATATGCTTGTTGGTACGCATTGGCAAATGGAAGTGCGGAGTACCTAGACATTGCAGAGAGGGTTAACCTTAACAAAAGGGTTCCAGGGAGCAACACCTTTACCCAAGAACCTTCAGGATGAGTGCTACTCTATGTTTTGTGATGCCAAAAGGCTGTAACAAAAGGATCACATACTCGTGAGGGTAGCAATTCACGTTTGAAAGAGCTGTGCCCCATATCCTCGTACGATTGTTCTAGCATGTTCTAGCACATGCCTGCACTCACACATACGTTCTGCCTTGCATTATACATTTCGCTGCTTGGGTATGCGCGAAGACTTGTACCAAAAGCCAGGCAGAGGACCGAATAGATAGACAAGCGATGACACCAACAACAGTGTCCAGCTAGCGTCCGAGTCTCCAGCACAGTTTGCCAGTTCCCGCAAAACATGGAACACGTTCTTATGTACATGTTTCTTTCGCATTTTCTCTGCTGGGTTGGGTACAGAATTCTTGGATGGCCAGCGTTTTTTACTATCTGGGGTTGAGTCTTGCTTTCACTCTCGCTCACAGAAACGCATTCGCATGCCACCTGAACTCAACATGCAATCTCCATGTTTGCTCTGTGTGTGTTTGTGTGCGAGTATGATTTGTATCTTTTCTGGTGTTCTGTTTTTGCTGGTTGCGGCCCGACATTCACTTAGTCACTTTGTCCGTTCGAAATTTGTCGCGTGCACCATGAATGCTTGAAAAAATTCGTATATGCTGTACGATCCAATGCTCCAGTTCCTAGCTGTTGAGAGTGAAGAAGACAAAGTGTTGCTTGGCGCAACGGAATTTCACCCCCACTCCCCAACCAAAGTCCTTGGCTCTGAGCAATGCAGAACACGTCCAAGGCACAGGACATCCATGAGGGCGTTCTAGAAAAGGCTGTCCCTGGCATGGGTGCTGAACAACAACCTCAAGCTTAGACATCCTTCTTGGGGTTGCAAGGAGTAATCGTTCCCCTATTTATGTTTCTCGCGACCAACTCGATGTCTGGCACGCCTTTTCGCAATTGCCCCGACGCAAATGAAAACATCCACTTGCATGGCTTTCGGGAGGGTGACCCGTGACCCCAACTTTCCACCCAATAAGCCTACTCCTCAAAAGCTTGGCCCTTGCATGAAACCAAAACAAGCTCCATTACGCTGGTGAATCTTGTTGCCAAAAAGTTCGTAAATCGTGAGGGGTGCTAAGCCTTCAAGAGCTTTCCCACCAATGCAGATGTTTAGGACTTGATTGGCTTGCATCGTCCCCGGAGCCTCTCTGGAAAGACCCTTTATTCAAGTTCAAGAAATTCGATTCCGTAGAGGGGGGCCCGATGTAAAAATCGAAGCCCATGGTTTCGGAATGTCACACGTAGAGCCCCGACAACATGCCACGAAAGCCCAAAGGCACCCAGTGCCGTTAAACTTTGCATCCTTCCCGGGCTTTGCGAGCCGGTGCCTGGACGCAGCAAAAAAAAAGTTGCGAACACGTACATGGCATGCAAGGTTGCTGAAGAGAGTTGGTGTTCAATACTTTAGAGCATCTGGTTCAGGGTTTGAGGGTGTGGTCAATCTTGGTTGACTGGCATAGGTAACAGGGTTTCGCTTTCATCTAGCTACACTAAACGCCAGTCACGCTTACGAAGGTTGTTTTTCTACCAAATCCCTCTAAATGGCACGCATGTTGCACTCTGTACCAACGCGACTTACGTTTGCGAAGTTGTTGTTTGCACAACTCATCTGCATCGTCGTGTGTTTCAGTGCAGGGATGATGTTGAGGTAGCTTTCTTGTCCGACCACACTTTGAACAGAACTGCCTGTTTGCTACCGAAATGCACTTGGGTTTGCACAAAGGCTTGTATGAGCTTCATGGCGCAAGATCATCAAAGTCTTTACACTGTGGTTTCTCAGGTGAGACATTGTGGACTCGCACCCGTTTCAATTCACCCAAACGAACGCTCATTTCCCTTTCGCGAGCGGCGCTGGGCTCAAGAACCAGATCTTCCATGCAATTTCGGGCCCGGCGGCAGGTTTGTAGAGAACCAAGCTCAGGAACATTCAAGCAGGAATGACTTGGCAGCAGCCAATGGAAGAAACTCAGATGATCATCTCTCACCATCAGTGCGTTTAGAAACTAGACTTCAAAGCCTGCGCATGCTTGGCTCGAGATGCCTTCAACCCAACCTCAGCTCTATACCCTATACCCAGCACTCAGAGCCACCAGACAGTACGGCTAAAGTCATAAGTGTGAAGCAAGTGGCACGTCGTCGACAAGCAATCGCGCCATGTCACTTGGATGGAAATTATAGCCATCTAGCGCATGTCTCAATCCCAAAGTGTTAGCTAGTTCGCTCCGAAACCTGAGTCCCACAACTGAGATTGGCCAAGCATCTTTGTCCGTGAGTTGGGCCCTGTGTAGAAGTTCTGGGCATATGCATCTTGACTGTAGCACAAAGATGTCTTTGAACTAAGCGAGTCCAGAGCTGGTTTCTGGAGTATGGGTCTCCCGGGTTCGCACAGAAGCAGTTCGAACATGGCAAGAGGCCTACTCGTCTACCTACGAGCCACGTAGGGGCCATTAATCGTCCAGCTGAGGACAGGGTCATGTTGAGGGCTTAGGGTCGAGGGATTTTCGTTTGCTTTGCGCCGGCTGCTTTGGTCTCAGGGAATTTTAGAAATCGGTACCCGGCAAAGCATCTTGAATACCTCAGTCCTCCGACCCCGGAGCTTGGCCCGGAATTCCATTTCCAGAAGCTTTGACGTCTCTTACTCGAGTGTTTGTAGATGTGGATGAGCCCTGCACTGACCGCCTGAAGTTGAACCAAAACGGCTGAGGCTCCAAACGGGGCTCCAAAAAGGCTAGCCTGAACCCTGGAGCTCACTGAAGGCAATCAGGCAGCCAGCTGGACCAGGAGGAGCGACCGAAACGATGGGTCAGACAGGTTCATCTAGGAAGCCATGCTTTGTTTTGGCCTCAGGGGTTGGGATGTGCAGCTTGAGGGTTCAAGGTTTAGCAATGTGCAGGATGGTGCGGGCTTTGGGGGTTCAGGCAGGCTCAGCGGGATTTAGGTTGCGACACTGAAAAAAGGCTCTGAAAACAACCTCTTGGCAAACAAACAACTTGGGTTCGTAATGTCGATGCCCTGACTTGCTCTAAGCCCACGATAGCACAATACTTTTTGCCCTCGAGTCCGGAAGAAACGAAAGTTGAAACTATCCATCTTACTTACCGCGGATGCAGGTTTCTCTGTGCCACCTTTAGTGACACTGAAGCCAAACCAGGTATGGCATGCTTGCAACGGTAAAGGCAAGGCCTGTCAACTAACAGTACGATTCAGCTTTCCAGCCGAGCTCCGGCCACTACCTCACTGTTTTGATTTTTTACGTGTTCCATCTCCCAGACATGCAGCTACAGCCCCCGGCCCATGTTGTCCTTCCGATGGTGGAGGCAGATGTGGTTATCGGCCAGCTGTCTCAAGAGGCACGTCCACGGAGCGTCCACAGACAGAGAGGGAGAGATCGAGAGAGAGAGAGAGATCGCCATTTTTGGCTCAAGTTGCGGAACCCAGAACCCATCCGCGACTCCTCCGGGATTTCCGGGGACTTTTACGGACGACACGAGATTACCCATGGAACCGCGTCCCTGACCGCCTTCAACTAAGGCCACCTGAACAAGGTCGACCTCGAGCTCAACAAAGGTGGGCTACAAACTGGGTCCAGACAAAAGGGCGCACGAGTCCTTCCACATCCTGGGGGTCGCCCACGCTTTCGCAGGGCAAGTTCCGCTCCTGGCCGAAATGGCCACTATGGGCCAGGAGAGCCTTCTACGCGCACTAGGACTTCACTGCGAACTCCGTGCTGGGGCCAGGTTGCAGCTACTACTCACCTATGTCCGACCTGCTGGGATGCTCAGCGTGGGCGCCACAAGAAACAGTGCTCAAAGGGGCGAACGTGCCAGCTCCTACACGTTAGGCGCATGATGTGGCCGCAGGGTGGGGTAATCGCCGGTAGAGTCTGCAGAACGCTGCGCGAACCCAGAGCAGTGCTGGTCAAACAAGAAGCGCAAGGTTTTCAGCGCGCCCGCGCTGGGGAGAATTTGGTGCATGCACAGACATCGCCAGGCAAGAGGAGGGGCTGACGTGAAAATACTGTTAGCCAAAGCAGGAAAGCAACGCCGCCCGACAAGATTCAACCTGAACCAAGACATAGAAGCCAGCGCAGGGGCCAATTCCAAGCAAGCCGGGGACAGAATTCACTGAAAAGAGATGGAGCACAAGTTCATTGACAGGCACGACCCGGCGTGGGCCACCGGCGAGTTCATGTCAACCAACAACAGCAGGACGTTTAGCAGGGCATGAGCAGCATGAGCGTGACCTCCCCTGTGCTGCCACCGGAGAGCAGCGCAACGTGACCGCGCCACGCCAGCAAACCCGTGTGTGGCACAGTAGCCACGCGCATCGGGGGCAAGAGCATCATCGTGATCGCCATTCCGGCAAACCCAGCATGAGATCCACCCCCGCAAACGTCGCAGTGGTGGGCGGAGCGATGACCCGCCCAATGGAACACAGCAACCAACCACCACTAGGAGGCGGCCAACCACAGCCAGCACTCCCACCGAGGAGCATGCAGCCGTCCGCCGAGCCGAGCGAACCCTACATTTCAAAGGGGGCAACTCGCACCGGGGAGCGAGCCGTCTTTTTACAGTTGAGGAGGGTTTTAGGGTGGGCAGCGGTCGGAAGGCGGTCGGAGGTGTGGTGGGGTTAGGGTTTGGGGGGGTGCGGTACATCAGTGCTTCAGCTTGGTGTATGGACAACCCCAGGACCGGCACCTTTACTCGCCGCACTTTTTGCAGACCTTCTGTGCTCGTGGACAGACATTAGGACTATGTCAACATGTGCATCTACGTGCCGTGGACGGTACGCTTTACAGCAAGTATGGCAGAACAAGCTTTAGCTCTGAGATCAGAGTTGATAAGGTTCCGAGTCCAACGCTTCATAAGGTTTAGGGTTTGGGGTTTAGGGTTTAGAATTTAAGTATAAGGTTGCTTCCGACCCAAGGATGGAGGGAGGGCCAACCACCCCTCCCCCCGGTCTGCAATCTATCTGCAAAGTTGCGGTTGGTTTTGTTTCCGTCGGCACCCTCAGGCATGTATGTATGTATGTATGTATGTATGTATGTATGTATGTATGTATGTACAGAAGGGATGAAGCATGGAGGTTTAGGGTTGGGGGTTTGGGTTCTATCATTCATTTTCATACAATTTTAAACATGTAAAATACAACATAAATGTCTATTGCATGCATATCTGTACACATAAGGGTTTAGGGTTCAGGGACCCTGGAAGAAAATCTCTCAATCCCTACTGCCGGGGCAACCCCTACATTTTTTGCAGAAATCGCCCGCGTTTATAAGGATTTATGATGGGCGTTTGGGACCCTAAACCTTAAGCCCTAAACCCTAGGCATTAGGTCTAGGGGTTTGAGGAATTTAGGGAGGATGCTCAGGGCTCGGGGCGTTTGAAGATTTTGGATCTAGGGCCGGCGACTTGGGTTGAATTTTGGTAGCGGCCCTTAACCTCAACATTGGCGCTTGGATCCCTGCGGCGATCTCGTAAGGCCCTAAACCCTAAGCCCTAAACCCAAAACCCTAAACCCTATACACCCTAAGCCTTAAACCCTAAACCCTACACCTCAAACCTTAAACCGTCTCGGGGCTCAGGGTGTCAGGGCTTGAGACTTTCAGGCCCTCGGGCTGCAAGGGCCAAGATTGAGGGTTCTGTGTTTAAGGGGTGAGGTCCTTTTTTTCCCGCAAACCTCAAGCACGATAACGCTTGCCAATGGTTTAGGAGCTTCGGCCCACCCTCAACTTACCTCCAAGAATCCCAAAACCCTTCAACCCCTTAAGCCACTCAAGCCCCTTCAGCCCTGCAATGGCGGCTACGGGAAGTATCAGGGACCTACTGTTGGGCCACTTTTTTGTACTTTGGCGTGCCTGCCCGTCCTCTGGTCTCATGGTCCTGCGGCTCCCTGTTCTGCTGGTCCTCTGGTGCTGGCATGCATTTGTTGTTGCTTCGCTATGTGTTAAGACTCGTTGCCTTCGCCACTTCCTGTTCTGCTCCAGCGCTCTTGCTGTACTTAGGTACTTGTAGGATGGTTTGTTATTTTGGTGGCGTGGGGCTTTTCGTCAGCCATTCTCTTCGCCTGTGCTCATTCCTGGCCAGTACCTCCCATCGCAAGTATGCCCCCCCCCCCCCCCCCCCGCCTGCACATAGCCCGGAGTCTAGAGCATCCAACTCTGCCCAGGGGCTGCAGTGTGGGTAATGGTAACCAGCATGTTTTTGGGCATTGCTATAGCAAACCATGCGTGCTTCAACTGAGTTATGCTGTTGGCGGAAGTAGGGGTCGTATAAGGTCCAAGCGCCTTCGATGAAAGTGAAACTCCTTCCAGTACAACCCTAAAGCCCTTGAACACTGAGCGTTGCATCCCCAGACCCCACAGCAGCTGAGATTCAGCCCGGCATCTTTAAAACACCCTTGGGCATGTTTGCAACAAGTGCAGTGTGGGCTACATCTTCTGACCCTCGGCGTTCTTCTCCTCACGGCTGATCGCATAGTCGTAGCCGTAGCCTCAGGGCTTGTCGGATTGGATTTCGGGGAATGCGTACTCAGATCAGGCCGCATCGCTCGAGATCGCAAGCAAGCTGGCTGGGAAAGGCTTCTGTGTGGCGGCGGCCTCACAGTAGAAGTTCCTTCAATCGCTGCTGAGGAAGATGCAAGCAAGACTATTCCAGACCCCAACAACCAGCATGGCTGAGGACTGCAGGGAGTCTGCCATCTCTAGGACAGCAGAACCCCCATCCGAATTCAAAAACTCCAAAGTCTTCAGCCCTGGTTTCCCAGACGACCCACGCTTTTGAGCTGTGTAGCTGTGTACTATGGCTCGGGTTGCTTTCGTGATTGGGGTTTCAGGTGTAGTGGTTCACCGATGCACGGAAACCCTATGCCAAGTTGCGTTCCTTTGCCCTACCGTAATACACCACAAAGCGCATGTTGAAGGGCCCGTTTTTGTCTTCCTAGGTGCGTCTTGGCTCTTGCCCCCACCCCCGGGAGAGCATGTATACTGGCATGCTGAGGTTTCAGCAGGCTTCGAAGACAGCGTTTTGCGACGAGCCGCAGACGAGGTGAAGTTTTGCTGAGCTTCGTTGAGGGACCTTGGATTTGGGACCTCGGGCTCAGCAGCTCAGGAGTTTCTAAAGTTAGAGAGGGGGGCATTCATAATCAGGGTTAGTGTTCAGGTTCAGCTGGGGCTGAGAGTCGAGCATTGTGTGGCACCGTGATGCATAGAGACAGCTTCAGATTTGGCAGAGCAACTCACGCGTGTTTGAGACTGAAGTATATGTATGATGCATCTTACACATCTTAGATACCAGATCCTGGGCTTACAGGCCCAATCTCGAAGAGCAGTGCGCGATCCAATGTGGCACTTCCTTGCTGACATATCACATCACGCTGGCCTCCAACAAAAGCCGGCACTGTGCGTGGACATGGGGCTATGCATTACCCGACCTATGTATTCCAGCACCCATTCCCCAGTCAAGCTCCACCCTTCAAAGCTCCAAGCCGTCCCGAACCCTGCATCAAGCAAAGGTTGTCCTAGTTTTCGCTGATGTCCCGACCATTCCTGCGAAAGGGAGCTTTTCAAAGATGCTTTTCACCGTCTTTTCAGCCAGTGTATTTAGGATTTCTGGATTCTGGTATTTAGAGTTTCATGGCTCAGGGCATCAGGACCTGAGGGCCGGGGAACCCAAAGTCCCGATGCCCCTGCCAACCTTCCAAAAGGTTGGAACAGTTTGAAACACTCGTGTTTCTTACGCTCCCTCTGCGGCGCAGATTGCTGCCTTCTCGAAGTCGGACCGCTGGCAGCAGGTCAATGCTGTCATTCAGGAGCATGACTTTCAGTGTGTCTAAGGCGTCAAGCGTTAAGCGTGGTGTGCTCTTTTAGGCTAATGGTTAAAGGAGTTTGAAGGGTCGGCCGAGAGCTACTGTACTCAGGTATGCACATCGACCCGATTTTGCGCCCTTACGTCTTCCTGAAACAGAGCATCAAACAAGAAAGAAGAACATGCACCCTGGCCATCTGGCCCTGTCAAAGCTGGCAACATTTCATGGCTCTGTGGCTGGTCGTGTCTTTTTGTCGTGGCTTTTCGTCATGGGTTCTTCACGAAAGTATGGATGAAGAATCTGCGCAGGCAGCAATTGGAAGCCCGAACGAACCGGCCTTGGCAAGGAACGACCAGCCAGCATGGCAGCTATAGGATGAGCCTGGGCCAAGCGAAAGTTCGCGTAGTCTTTGGCGAATGTTGGCAGTTTCCGAATGAAGGACTATTGGACAACCATCTCCGTCGCCTGAAAAGACCGCTATGACACTGTGTGCAGGACGGCTTGCTTGGCGCAGAGGGCTCGGCTTTTGTTGCCGAGCTCGAGCTTGGGAGCCCAGGCGCAGACGCGAACAAGACTTTTCTTCTAGGAACATCCGACTCTTTGTTGAAGGGTTGTTTGAACATTTTGGCGGGGGAGTCGAACAACCACACTCAGTTCGGGCGTGTTTTTGCTTGGGTTCGTATTCTAATTGAGTTCCAAATGGGCTGGCGAGGTCTAATTATCCACGTACCCAAGGCGCAGCAACATCTCTGATTCCAGGACCTGATGCCAGTGTGCTGCATAATATAAACCCCGGGCAACAGACATGATCGTCCCAAAACATGAGTCTAGGGTTTGAGGGTATCCTAGACTCTAGACCATCGAATGGCAATACCAAAGCCCAATGCCTTGCTCTGAAGCTCGGCTTGAACAAGGCAAATGCCTCAGAAGCTTAATGACCCAATGGCTACTCAACCAGAATGTTTGCTTTCAGTCCTGCACCAGCCTCATTGCAGACTGCAAGCCCTTCATCTTAACAAGGGAGTCTCATCCTCAGGCCC